AAAAAAAAAAAAAAAAAAAACGTAAGAAGAATATTCCTGCAAGCAAACTGCCAGGTTTTTAATAGTCTGGGCACTGACTGCTTTGACATCTCCCCAACCTCAGTGCCCTCTAGAGGCAGGAACACCCCATCTCTGGAAAGACGATTAAGAACAGAGACCTAAGGAAGGGCAATGCCTAACTGAGAAGGCCCTTGGTGTGGAAAAATGAAAGCACATGGGGATCTGACTTCCGTATCTGGTTACATGAACCCAAGAATGGGGGACAATCATATAACAATCAGAGGTGTGGTTTTGACCCCCAGTCAGCACAGTGTGACGAGTGCTGCCTAGTCCCAGAGTAAACAGGCTGATTGTCATCCCTCATCTCTTTCCTTGGCGGTCTTATGGTGCCTTCCACCAGCCTAACACAGTGGTTCTCAACCACAGCTGCACTTTAGAATACCCTACCACCTACCACCTTAATTGGTAGGTTTGGTGGCTTTTTTTTTTTTTTTTTTAAAGAGACATGGTCAACCAGGCTGGAGGGCAGTGGTGTGATCATAGCTTACTATAACCTGAAAGTCCTGGGCTGGAGTGATCCTCCTTCACCAGCCTCCCAGGGTGCTAGGATTATAGGCATGAGTCACCACTCGCAGCCCAGGGAGTTAATTAAAAATGAAAGTTCTCAAGGTGAGTCTAATAGCCAGGAAGGGTTGAGAACCACTAGTTTCATATGGCCTGGTCCCAGTCAACTTACCCAACCTGATTCCAACCAGATAAGTATAACGGTTTGTGAACACGCTATGATTCTCCCCTTTGCAATTTATTTGCGCTTTTTCCCTAACTAGGAGCTCCCCAGGGGCCAATGCTACAACAGTGCAAAGGCTTTAGAATCATGCAGACTTGGACTCAAAATCCCAGCTCCTCAAGCTGGAAAAGGGACTTAAACTTCTCAGCCTCGGTTTGTTCATCTCTAAAATGAAGATGTTAATGCCTGCCCCTTAGAGCTTTTTATTTGGTTTACATTCAACAAGTATCTGAGAGTACCTACTGGGCACCCTGAAGTCTGGTAGGTGAAAGTTTTCCATTTTCAAGTTGGTTTTTTTTTTGAGACAAGGTCTTGCTCTGTCGCCCAGGTTGGAGTGCAGTGGCCTGCTCATGGCTCACTGTATCCTGGATTTTCTGGGCTCAAGTGATCCTCCTGCCTTAGCCTCCTGAGTAGCTAGGACTTCGGTTATACACCACCATGCCTGGCTAATTTTTAAATTTTTTGTAGAGACCAAGTCTAACTTTGTTTCCTGGGCTGTTCTGAAACTCTTGGCCTCGAGCAATCCTCTCACCTTGGCTTTCCCAGGTGTTGGGATTATAGGTGTGAGCCACTGCACCTGGCCACAAGTTTGTTTTTTTTAAGAGATGGGGTCTCAGTGTGTTGCCCAGGCTAGAGTGCAGTGGCTATTCATAGGCTCCATCGTAGTGCACTGTAGCCTCAAACTCCTGGGCTCAAGTGATCCTCCCATTTCAGCCTCTCGAGTAGCTCGGCCTGTGGTGTGCACCACTGCACCTGGCTTCCATTCTCAAGTTTTATTCAGAAACCAGAGCAGGCTACCTGACTCAGGTTGTGGTAGAGAGACACATGAAAGGTTTCCTGGAGTTCCAGTGTGTTCTTAAAGAACAAGGAGAGGTTTATCTAGTTAAGGGGCTATGTTTTAGACAGGGGACATTAGCAGTGGCACAAAGGCATCCAATAGCATGGTGGGAATGGAATATAACAAGCAATTTAGTGTTTTTCGAGTGTGAGACACAGGTGGTGGGGGCAGGTTGCAGGTGAGGTCTAGGTCAGGAGGGCCTGCTGGGAAGCCCCATGTTAAGCTTTTACTTAATCCTCTCAGTGGTGAGGATTCATCGAAGTTTCAAATGAGGGGAGGAGCTGACCTGGTTAGCTTTGGACTTTATGTGTAGTCACTAATTACTGTATAAACTAGGGTTGGCACAAAATGCAGGACAGAAGACCAATTAGAAGGCTGTTTTATTAGTTTCGGTGAGAGGTGAAAGGAGTCTGGGCGATGGCTTTGGTGATAGGGATGACAAGAAGCCCACGAGGGCCGGGCGCGGTGGCTCACGCCTGTAATCCTAGCTCTCTGGGAGGCCGAGGCGGGCGGATTGTTTGAGCTCAGGAGTTCGAGACCAGCCTGAGTAAGAGCGAGACCCCATCACTACTAAAAATAGAAAGAAATTAATCGGACAACTAAAAATATATAGAAAAAATTAGCCGGGCATGGTGGCCCATGCCTGTAGTCCCAGCTACTCGGGAGGCTGAGGCAGGAGGATCGCTTGAGCCCAGGAGTTTGAGGTTGCTGTGAGCTAGGATAACACCATGGCACTCTAGCCCAGGCAACACAGTGAGACTCTGTCTCAAAAAAAAAAAAAAAAAAAAACCCACGAGGTGAGAAACATGTTGGGTGGTAGAATAGGTAGGTCTGTGTGTGGAGCTTTAGGAATGCAAGGAATAACTAGAGCAACTGACATGGAACGGCATGGGCACTGTTCCCACAGCTGTAGTTGTATCATCTCGTTTGGTCCTCACGACAACTCTGAAATCTAAGACCTGCTGTCATCCATGTTCTACATATAGGAAAACTGAGGAAAAGGAAGTGAAGTATTGGTTCACCCAAGGTCTCATAATAGTAATTAATGGTGTGGCCGGGACCCAGACGTCTGACTCCAGAGCCCATGCTCTCAGCCACCTCACTGTGTGGCTGCTATCAAGGAAATATCAGGGATATGAAGACCAGGTTTCTGGCTTGGGTGTTGGTGGGCTCATCAATAGAGACAGCAAGTATGGGAGCCCACGAAGGGCCTGTCGTATATCCTAGAGGAAATGTATGGCAGGTAGTTTAATAAAAGACTCAAATGGATCAGGAGGAATCTGCACCAGTGAGTGATTTGAAAAATAACAGGGGATTCTGGTAGACACTAAAAGAGGCATTGAGTTGGATTATGGAGCTATACGGAGTGAACATACAGATGAGTGGTTCTGAGATAGGGATGGCCATACCTAAGAGGGCCCAGATAGAGACTGGAAAGTGTAGCAAGGGCAGAGGAGAGCATAGCAAGGAAGGTGTGATCTGAGGACTAATAGTAATAAAAACTCACTGATGGAGTGATTTGTAAGTGCGTGTTTTTATTAGCATCCCCATTTTACATGTGACTCCTGCATTCTTGCTCAAGGTCACACAGTAAGAGGTTGAACAAGGATTTGAATGAAAGATTTGAATCCAGCCTGAATTATTCCAGAGCCATTGCTGTTAACCATGGTGATGCACAGCCTCTCAGCACATAATGAGATCCCTGAGGAAGCAGGATGATGGGTCAGGGATACTGGTAGAGGGTCTGTCATGGGAAGAGGGGCAGTTCATTTTCTGGGAGGCAGGGAAGTGAGGTAGAGTGTGTGCTGTGGATAGTTGGTAGGAGAAGATGAAGGGAGATTATTTCTGTTGAACTAGTCTTGGTGAAGGGGCTAGGTCATTTGCAGAGATTAATGGTTAACTTAGATGTTTGACATGTGAAGAAGTGTTTCGTGAGCAGTATGGAATCTGTAATCCTACCGATGGCTGTTAGGGGATTATATTATTCTGTCTTTTGAGGCTCTGCTCTACTGATATCCAGCCTTAGGGATGAAATCATTTTTCTGCTCTAGCTTCTGCTTATCTCTCCTTCTTTCTGAATTTTAATTGAGTTTAAGAGCTTTTTTTAAGGAGACAGTCTTGCTCTGTCGCCCAGGCTGGAGTGCAGTGGCATCATCATAGCTCACTGCAACCTCAGACTCTTGGGCTCAAGCAATCCTGCCTCACAGCATCCGAAGTAGCTGGGACAACAGGCGTGCCACCATGCTCAGCTAATTTTTCTATTTTTTTGTAGAAATGAAATCATGCTCTACTTTAGGCTGATCTTGACCTCCTGGGCTCAAGCGATCCTCCCGCCTCAGCTTCCTAGAATGTTAGGATTATAGGTGTGAGCCATAGCACCTGGCTAAGAGTTCATTTTGAAGCCAGGCACAGCGGTGGGCACCTGTAGTCCCAGGTACTTGGGAGGCTGAGGCTCGAGGATCGCTTAAGGTCCAGAGTTCGAGGTTGCAGTGAGCTGTGATGGAGCCTGTGGAGTACCACCGCACTACCGGCCTGTGCAGTGTTCCGAGACCCTGTCTTCATTTATTAATTAATTAATTTATTTTTAAATTATAAAATAATTGAATGATATTCTGTTTATGAGGCACTTTTACAATAAAATGTTAAACCAAAAAGGTTAAAATAAATATTATTAATATAATTCAGGCAACGAAAGTACAAAGAAATCCAGAGCAGCAATATTAGTAATAAATTATGAAGAATTCAAGGCAAAAAGGCTTAAAAATAGCAAAAAGGATTGCTTATATTTGAAAATATCCAATCTGCAATTAAAATACAGAGATCACAAACATTCATGCTCAAAATAACATTATTACAAAATCTGTAAAGCAAAAACTATTAGAAGTATGAAAAAATAAGAGTATATGTTACAAATAAATGAAGATGATTTTTAACCTGGGCCTTTTTCAGGTTAAGTAGACGAAAAATAAAAAGATACAAATAACTTGAATAACCTTATAAATACATTTCGTATTAAAATTATTCTCCCCTGAGATCCTCAGCTACCAGTTACCAATTTTTTTTTCTTTTTAACACTTTGCCCAGTGTATTCTCTGAAGCTCCTTATCTGGACCGCTGGACCATTCTAAAACAATACAGAGTTTTTTCCAGACTTCTGTATTGTCCAGTATATCTATACCCATCACCTCTAAGACTATCTTTAAATATCTGAAAAGCCAGTAAACAGAAGATCTACTGATATGTATTATGTTCTAGCCTCCTAAAAGAGTGGAAGAGGTGGTGTGGGATAAAGAAAATATAAAAAGCAAATATATTTTCTACTTGTGAAGGTGCTTGGTTGTAATTTGTAGTGGGACAAAGTATAGCATAAGCCAAATGCTACTGGGCATTGAGCAATTCATTTCTGTAAAATTTTGGATGGTGTTCTGGATGATGAATGGAGAATGTAAACAGTATTTACTATAGCAAAAGAAATCTCATTGTATTATTTTTTTCAGTTTAATATCTCATTATTTTCAGCTTCCATTCCTGTTGGGGATGGAATTAAAAAAATAGTTTAACACCCATTTCCCAAGACCTTCGGCTTTTGAATATTTAACCAATGTAAAAGTATCAACCACAGTCTGACTATAGACAAAGAGGAAGCAGTTTAAATTGTCTCATTAAGGAAACTAGAACAAGAACATACTGGACAAAAACATACTAGACAGTGCAGCAGGAGTGTTAGGAGACAAGCCACAAAGAACCGGATCAGTTCAGAACAGTAAAAGCCTAAAGTGGCCTCAGGGTCCTAAGTGAAGGGAGGGTGTATCTCAATATCAGAACTCTATCTTGTATATTCTCTACTTTGTATATAATCATGGATAGCAAGCTGCATATAATTCTTAATTACAGTGTAGGTTCAGTCAGCATTAAAATATTTGTTTTTAAGGAGGGACATGAACCAAGAGGACCCTCCCTGACTAATAGGGCAGCAATTCTGTTGTCAAGAGTAAAACTAGGTTAACAGGACTCCTTAAAGAACAGTTTTAATGATGCTTTTTTGTTAAGGGTTTCATTTTCTTCCTCATTTCATAAACAAAGTCAAAGAAAAAGTTCCAAGACCAGTTATTTCATAGTCAAGAAGAACTGACCAAATGGTAACGTATGTGGAGGAGCATAATCTTTTTTGTATGTAGAACGGGGTTGCTTGTTGGGCTGACGTTAAAGTGAGTCCACAACCCTGTCTTTAAAAAAATTTTTTTTAAAAAGTTCATTTCAAGCATTCTTAATTGTGTTTGATTTTTGCACTGTTCTGATATGCTGGAATGCTTAGGGTTGGGCACGTGGTAGGTATTTAATCAATTCTTTCCACTGGTAATCGGTGGTTTTGTTAGCAATTACAAATTTAAGTGGTAGAGGAAAGCATGGACTTTTCTGTTTAGAATGAATTTTTTTTGTAAACACAAGGGGGTGCTCTTTAACTGTCAGTGACCAGTAAAAGAAGTTTGATGTCCTATTTTAAAGCCTCAGAAGGAGCAAGAGGGTAGGAAGCCTGAGTTAAGCAAATTGCTGCAGGAACAGTAATGCAATTAGACGGTGGGTATTTTAGCTATCCTTTAAAATTGAGAAGTTGTCTTTCAGATTTATTTTCCCAAAATATTCAAGAATGAAAAAATATTATTCCTAGGTATCTCCAGAAGATCCTGGAGCTCAGTTCCTGATTCGTACTGGGTCTGTTGGCCGAAATAGGGCTGAAGCCTCTTTGGAGAGAGCCCAGAATCTCAACCCCATGGTGGATGTGAAGGTGGACACTGAGGATATAGAGAAGAAACCTGAGTCATTTTTCACTGAGTTTGATGCTGTAAGTTTCTTAGTATAAAATCTGCTGTGGGAATTAAGCAAATTAAGGCACTAGTTATGTGTATACCAGGTGATACTAGAGCATTCAAATCTCAAATTCTAAGCTTTTTCTCAAGTAAATTTATAAGCCGTTCTGTTCTTTAGGCTTAGTATATTGCAGGAATGTGTTGATAGAGAGGTCCAGTCTGTTGGATCTGCTGAAACTGTTAGCGACTTGCTGTCTGCTGGCTTCTTCTCTGGGCATATGTTCCCCTAGACCAGGTTTCGTCTTTGGTGTTTTGTCTTCCTTCCAGAATCTTTGCATAGCTTTAATCCATGTTATTGCAAATGTTTTCTTCCGAAAACTTAACAAGTTGGTGATTAATTTCTGTGGCAGAGGCATTTTTTTTGTTAGAAATATCAAACTACAGCTTGTGTTTTGTCTTAAGAAAGAGCACACCTGATCTTGGTCTATCTATGTCTGTCTGTCTGTTTTGCGCAGTCACTTTGACCATGTTGCCATGGATAACTAGACAAAATCACTGTGGTCCTAAGCCAAATGAGGCATATCCCACCTCATTGGGTTTCACTGCCAGATCTATGCAGAGGTGAAAGAATAAATTCAGTTATATGTCAGTGTCTGTGACCTTTCAGATGTAGTTCCCTGTACCCTAAAAAAGCTTAACAAATCTTGAATAACTGTGAAATAGTCACAGATGAGCTACTTGTTTTTTAAATGAAAGGCCTCATTACAGGAGAGGTTAGAATTTGGGTTGGGTAGTTTGTTTTTCACACTATTATATTTCATACGTGCATCTGTTCAAATATGTGCTTGGAATGATGGATCATCTGTGCATTTGTCCTGTTTTCCCTTTTCCAATCCCTTCTATTTTTTAACTCCAGGTATTGGGACTCTTTCCATTTGGACATGTCTCTTCATTTTCTTATCCATAGTAACCACATTTAGTTTATTCTAGGTGTCCCTTGAACTTGTAGAATTAGAGAAAGGGTTTGTTAAAACTGAAGCATGAGGCCAGTTGATTGTGTAACACATGTACATGGGGCCAGGATGACTGCCTTGTGGGCCATGTTTGGCCGGTCCTTGTAGGTTTTACAGTCGCTTTTGACTCTGCAGGGTTCCATTTGATCAATTGGTTGCTTGTTCACCTGTGGCTTTCTTACCTTTTAGATGTGATTTTTCCTTGGGTGGCTGCATCCTTTGAAACACTAAAGGAACACATTTCTCTGTGAGTGTTATTTCAGTATTCAGGCTGCTAGACAACAGCAAAGAGGGTCTATCAAATGAAAATGTTCTTTTGTTCAGGAGAAAGCATGTGCAATTTAGAAGTTGTCTTTTGACCATGATCAGAAGGCTGCTCCCGAAAAGATGGTATTTTGTGCAGTAGAACTTAGCCATTTCCAATACCTGAACTTACTGGAACACAACCTAGAAGCCCCAGAGCAACACTGATAATTCCACTGAGTGAATCACCAGTTCATTGTCCAAGTCTGAATGGAAGGTCACTTAGTCTGTAACCTTTTCTTTTGTCCTTAAATTCAGATAAAGTTTCACACTGCAATCTGTGGAAAAGTGATCTCAATAGGACTTGTTTATCTTCTTTATCTTAACATATCAATCAAAAGAAGGGGGAAAAAAAAATCCCTCATATTTAAACATGACCTTTGGGTCAATTTAAAAAACTGGTTTTGCTTCTCACAGTAGTTTATTTGGATATTAATAAGTTTAGAAATAATTACTAAATTTTTTTATCCATGAAAATTATGAAATGTGTATATGTTCATGGATTAGGGGAAACGAATGTATCGAATGGGTTTTATTTTCTAGCTAAAGACATTGTATTTTGGTTGCACGAAGTGATGATCTCATAATTTACATTTTCTACACACTGAAACCTGCAGCATTTCTTTTGTCTTCTAACCATAGGACCCAAAGAACCTGTTGTACCAGTTTGAAACGGGCTTTAAACATGCCCAGAGAGACTGTTCATTAAGATTTATTTAGACGTCAGGGCAGTGATTCACAGTTTGCAAAACTCACACCCAGCCAATTTCTTTCTTTCTGCAGGTGTGTCTGACTTGCTGTTCCAGGGATGTCATAGTTAAAATTGACCAGATCTGTCACAAAAATAGCATCAAATTCTTTACAGGAGATGTTTTTGGCTACCATGGATACACATTTGCCAATCTTGGAGAGCATGAGTTTGTAGAGTAAGTGTTGGGAGAGGAGGGGAGAACATAACGTTTTCAAAATTTAGTTTTATTTACTGATAGGAAAAGAAAAATATTTTACTGTAATACTTAGAACATTCTGAAACTGAGTCATTAACAACTTACCGAGTACAGTAGTTCAAAATTGTAGGAGATACAACCCTCCAAAATAATGGTCTAATCTAAAGACTAAAGCAAGCAAAGTTCTACAGCACTCAGAGTATACCACATGGGTATTTATTTGATCAGTCTGGACTTCAGGTAGTGAAGTCATATTTTCTGCATAGAGAAGGCTTGCTTGGATTGTAAAGCTTGGTCTTGTGTGTTTTAGGTTGAGAGATAGTAAAATGAATACGAAATAGGTAGATGGGTAACTCTGTAGGCACTATCAGCCAAAGTCTACCTTGTAAAAGCCCTGAGGTCCAGAGAGACTGCTCTGGTGGAAAAAAAAGATCGTATCCTCTCATTTTGAACACTGAGGCTACAGACCTTGGTAATTCTCACATGATGGGACCTGCAGTGTTTTGAATTTGTAGTTTCTAAATGAAAGATGTCAGATGATACAGTATTGTGAAGCTATGTGAGTTGATTTTTTTGGCTGCAATTTCTGACCCCTCCCCGCCAATTTGCTAATGAGAGGCTGAGAGAGGCTCTATGGGGGGGTGGAGCTTCCTATCAAGAGACTGAGAACTGCTCTTTTGTTCAGCCTCTCAGGCAAGTCCCTGAAATTTCTCTGGTCTGCAAGTTTCTTGTCTGTAAAATCTAGATGGGGGAAGGGCAGACATGTTCCAGATATCTCCTAACTCTAGTGTTTTATGGCTATAGGAAAATCTAGTTCTTTTGGGCACATTATAAATGGATAAAGAAGTCAACAGTAGTAGAAAACAGGCCAGATGATGATGATGATGATTTTTTGAGACAGGGTCTCTGTTGCCCAGGATAGAAGTACAGTGGCATGATCATAGCTCATTGCAACCTCACACTCCTGGTCTCAAGTGATCCTCCTGCCTCAGCCTCCCAGGTAGCTGGGACTACAGGCGTGCACCAAGCTGCCTGGCTAATTTTTCTAGTTTTAGTAGAGATGGGGGTCTCACTCTTTCTCAGGCTGGTCTCGAACTCCTGACCTCAAATGATCCTCCTGCCTTGGCCTCCCAGAGTGCTAGGATTACAGGCATGAGCCACTGTGCCTGGCCCAGTCCAGATTATTTTATTTTATTTGTTTATTTATTTTTCTTTATTTTCTTTTGCAACATGGCTGAACCTTGAAGGCCAGATTATTTTAACATGAGCTCCCCACAGTAGAGGAGAGGAGTTGAATTGGGCTATTTATTTCATGATTCAGGTAGAACGTGTCCAAAGTAATCACTTTCGTTTATTGAGAGCTTCTATGTCCTGTGTAGTGTGCTGAGCAGTACATATTACTGAATTTCTCCTCTTAGAGTAATCCTGTCAGGAATTGGTATTCCCACAGAGTGGCTAACTGACTCATCAGGTAATCAGTGGCAGAGCTGGGATTTGAACCCAGGTCTGTCTGACTCTAAAGCTTTTACCCTTAACCACTATCTGTAAGATAGTGAAACTCTTTATTACAGTGCCATGATTCACAGGGTAGAACTTGATTTCCTTTCCTTATCACCCTCTAGGGAGAAAACCAAAGTTGCCAAAGTTAGCCAAGGAGTAGAAGATGGACCTGATACCAAGAGAACAAAACTTGATTCTTCTGAAACAACTATGGTCAAAAAGGTATATGTAATGGCATGGAGGGCGAGGTCAGAAACCCTGGGACCTTGTAGGGGATGGGCAATTACAATTGCAAATGAGAGAAGTGAGCTCTGTAGAGCAGCCTGGAAAGGAGGGGCCAGTGCTTGTCCCATCTAGAGAGAGGCTGCCCTTGCCTAGTGCCAGCCAGCTGTTGCCATGAGGGAATGTGGGCCCAGTGATTCCAGATACGATTTTTTTAAGAGAATCAGAAATGCAGATTTTTGTATGCTCTGTCTCAAACTTAAATACTGACAACCTACTCAAATTGATTTGAATGTTGTTCTGGTCAACACTGTGGATGCCAAACAGAACATGCCCAGAGGACTTACTTGGTCTGTAGGCCACCAATTTTGACCACTGGTGTATGGACTAGTATCAGAAGGACTGGTTTTGAGCGGAGGCTATTACTTTTGTACTGATTTTTTATCTAGATTGACAGTTTAGTAAAGTCCTAAGTGGGCAGGAGCCAGCTTAAACTTTAATTGCTAATTGTTTTGCCTGTTTAAGAAAAGTTTTTTGCCTTGTTTTCTTTTTCACCCAACAACCTTTAATAAGAAACGCTTTCAGTGTTGACAAATGTTATCAGGTATGTTTTGTTGTTTGTTTGAGACAGGGTCTTGCTCCAGGCTTGAGTGCAGTGACATGATCATAGCTCACTGCAGCTTCGAACTACTGACCTGAAGCGATCTTCCCACCCTAGCCTCCCAAAGTGCTAGGATTACAGGCATGAGCCACCGTGCCCAGTCAATCAGGCACATGTGTGTGTGTGTACACACACACTATTATATATATAGTTTTTTTGAGACAAGGTATGGCTCTTTTGCCCAGGCTAGAGTGCAGTGATATCATCATAGCTCACTGCAACCTCACACTCCTGGGCTCAAGCAATCCTCCTGCCTCAGCCTCCCTAGTAACTGGGACTACAGGCTCATGCCACAATGCCCAGCTAATTTTTTTAATCTTTTGTAGAGATGGGGGTTTTGTTGGTTGTTGTCCAGGCTCAGGTGTATGTTTTTTAATGTAGTTCATGTTTGGGGTTTAGCTTCTATTTGGATCCGGTGCAATAATTAAATTCATTATATAGAAAGAAGTGGGAAAGCGATCAGAAGACAATGGTTTCTGTGGCAAGTGTTGGAATTTGAGAAGGGAACCATGCGATGGGGAAAATAAGATGAAAGGGCCAGAATTGGCTGAGTAGAACTCACAGGAAAGGCATCACCAAGCCCGTATTTACTCTTTGCTTTGTACATTTAAATGTTGAGAAAAAAAACCAGCTGGTCAGAATGTAGAGTTAAAATTGCTCTAAAGGGGGGATTCTAAAGAGTGCAGAAACCACAAAAGAGACTGCAGAAAACCACAAAAGTGGAACTCATAGAGTTTCCAGCAAGACAGCATTGGAGGTTTTCTTTCTCTTGCTTTTTGTGTTTGTATTGGAATAGTTTGATGCTCTAAGTGTGATACAGAGGAATTATTAAGCCCTAATTTTAGTGTCTATTCACAGGACCATAATTATCCAGAGTGAACCTTGGTGTTTTGGCCAAAACTTGGGTCCTTTTCTTTCTTTCTTTCCTTTTGAGGCCCAGTCAAGCTGTATCTGAATAGCTCCGTGAGTTTGGTGGGGGGAGATAAATTGTTAACAAACGGAGGAGTACAAAAGCAGCTTTGTGGGTGCTGTCAGTTTATAAATCACACCCTCTTACAAGTGTGACACTTGGCCTTGGTGTGAAGGGTTTTTATGGCTTAAGGGCCTTTCTGATTGAGGCAGGTCTTTCACATTCAAATGGGGAGAGCTCAGCCTAGCTTTGTTAGCCATTCACAGCTGGAAGTTTCCCTGGAGTCAATTCTGATGGTGCACACTGGGGTGGATCTGGAGACCTTTTTTGGGAGCCACTTTATCTTGCTATGAGGAGAATGTGGGCAGCCCAGGCAAGCACTCTGCGACCTTCGCGTACCATTCCTTAGGGCTCTACGGTCACAGAGCTTTTTGTGCAGCCTCTTCCTACATGAAGGTATCAAAATATTCCCCAGCTGACATTGTTAGTCAGCTGTTATACATGGACAATTCAGGCTTGGATTCCAACCCTGAGCCCTTAAGGTTGTGAGGCATTCAGTGCATTCCTGGTGACAATCCCTGGGATTCCAAACCTTGTCTTTGTGCTGCCTCACCAAGAGCCCTCTGGGAGGACTAGGCTGAACTGGGTTTTGGCCACAGCGTTGCCACCTTGTAATACAATAATAACATGCCTTCTCTATTTCGGCAGAGGTGACCCTGTGATTTCAAAGTTTTTTTCCTACTCAAAGATTCCTTGATTCAGATTCTGCCCTTTTGCCTAATTGTACAGAATAACTTTCTGGGTTGTGCTCAGAGTGCAGGATGGGGGTGGGGAAGCAGTGACTTCCTGTTTCCTGTGAAAGGTTTCTGGTTAGGGTTCCCTTCCCCTCCCCCCTTTCCTTAGGTTTAACCAAAGCCACTATCGCTTCAAGGTACACACTGTGCTCCTAAATTAGAAATGTTAAAAAACAAAGAGGAAAAACAGAGCTTGTGGTTTTCACACCCTCTAGGAAGATACTGGGCCTTTCTAGCACCTGTGTGGTAGGAAAATGCCTGGCCCAGAGATAGGTGCTCAGTAGTTTGTTTGCTTCCTTTGGTGCTCAGAACTTGTGAGACAGGATTCATCAGAGACAGGACTTGGGCACATGTGTGATACCGACACTACTGTGCCTCAGATAAAGGAAAGAGCGATGTCGTGGTGGTGAGGCAGTATCCGAAAAGATTCCTCAGAGGAAGAGTTGTTTGTGTTGGCATGTGAAGGGCAAGCTTGCCAAGCACCAAAGCCAGAGGAAATAGAATAAAGAAAAAGTCACTCTGGCTTCCCTTGTTCCAAAACAGCCAGCTCTTTCTGTGATTACAAAATGCCTACTATGTGCAAGGCACCATATAGGGTGCAGGGAAACACATCCGGTCCTGTTTCAATCTTCAGCTGATGGAGAAGCGAGGAGAAATTAAATGACCTGTCCAAGGTCACACAGCTGCGGAAGAAGGAATAGGCAGGGAGAAGCCTAGACAGTGGGTGAGGACATGGGTGCTCCTTGCCTTACGAGGGGAATCCCCCTGGAGTTTCTAAGGTAGTTTGACGTTTTCTGAGAATGGTGGGATAAAATATGTGAAAATCGGGGTAATTCTGGAAAAGCTTTAGGATAAAAGGCCACTGTCATGGTCCCGTGTTCACATTTCTTTATTGCGCCTTGTCTGTGTTGTTAGGGGGCTGCCAGAGATGATTAGATGCCTGACAGTGGTTACTCTCCGTAATAGCTCTTTAAAAATTAAACAAGCAGAATGTGTTCGTAACGTGCTAAGAAATACAGATTTAATTTTACTTCTGCTCCTGAAATAGTAGGTGACTAATTTGGGGTACTGTTAATACTCTTTTCATGAATTAGTTGAGAAATTCCACAGTAGAGAGGTGATTCATTCTTTCAATTCCCTCTTTCTGAGCCTTTTGTTGACAACTCTCATCCTCCTCTCATGCCCATCATTAAAGAAATAGTTTAGTGCTTCCTCTTCATATGGCACCTTTATTTCCAATACTCATCACACTTGAGTTTACTTGTTGCTGTCTCTCCCCTTAGACTCTAAGCTCCACAAGGGCAGGGCAGTTTCATTTGCTGCTAGACTTCCACCCCAGCGCCTAGCATAGTCATATTCAGAAAATGTTTGTTCGGTGTAGTTGTGGCTATTACTGATTATTGGGGCATAACATTACAACTCTGGAAGAGATTATTGTAATTTTAAAAAAGGATTTATTGAATTAACTTTCTTTGTTATTAGCTAAATGAATTCACCTTGTAGTATATTAATTCTCATAGTTTAGGTTATTTGAGCTGAAAGAACAGAATTCTAAAGAAGACAAGGGTGCCCAGGAATATTTAGAAGCAGTTGAGTTGCCTAGACTAGAACTCCTGGGCCAGAGAGGTTCAAAACCCTGCCAATTCTCAGAATCATTTGGTTTGGAGGGGCGGGAATAGGGTAATGCAGGGTACAAATTTGCAAAGTTGGTGGAGTACTGACAGCAGGTTTTCCAGGTAGGAGAGTAAGTTGCGGTGGGGAGTGCTAGTGGTGCCGT